TCGAACCACATTCTACAGAATCAAAACTGAGTTCGAGGAACAAAGGGTTCAACAGGCAATCCATGGGAACGACGGTACGCACAAAACCAGGGGTCATGTTGTATATGGAGAGGCAATCTTCAAGAGGTTTGTCGAGACATGTAGCGAGTAGCAACCACATAAAACCCGCCTCTTGGAAGATGGAACACGAGACACCCAACGAGTTCTCCCTTCCATGTATACCAAGGGGACCATATTGGAAGATGTGAATCGGGAACTCCAGAGTAATGGCTACAGGAAGCTGAGCCAATCTAAACTTAGTAGATTGTGGAGCAACAGGTTCAGGGATGTGAGTATAGGAAAGTACTCCAGCTTTTCAAAGTGTGACGAGTGCACTGCTATCAAAATGGCTTTGTCAAAGAATTCTTGCAGCGCTCAAGAGCGAGAGACGTTGGTTAGAAGGCGGCTCGACCACAACATTGAGCAGAGAAGCTGCAGGATTGCATATTATCATAACAGGATTCTCTCCATGGAGAGACCTGACTCTTACCTCTGCATCATCCACGACAAAATGGACCAGAAAAAGACATGCTTACCTCGACTCAATCCTGCCCCCAAGGCAATCTCTTCATCCATGCAGCTGCCTGTGTCTGTGTTTGGCATAATCGCTCATGGGCATGGTGCCTAGAACTATGGGAACTTCTTTGTACCTCTATGGGGTGGCGGGGGTGCAAACATGATGATTGCGTCCCTAGCAAAACACTTAAGGTCTCTGCAAAGTGCGCAGACTAAGATGAACGGCTAACCCTTGCATAAGGCCCTTGTCGATCGAACCCCATACAGGGTTTAGCTGGAGGAAGAGCAAAGGCTTGCAGTATCGCGTGGGGCCCCATGCCATCCCAGTGAATATGTTGGCCGTCAGATTGTAGGGTTATCATGTGAGGCCTCATGCCATTCTGACGAGGCTGGTCGCCCGGTGAATGCACAGCCTTATCCAAATGAAGCAGAATCTCAAGGAAGTTCTTGCGGCCGATGTGGCCTTCCACCCCATCTTCTGCTCCAAACAGACAATGCTGGCAGTGAGAACAAAAACATGTACGTCTTCGCGTACTTGGCGATGCTTGTTGCCAAAGGCATATTTGAAACGGTTACACTTGGCTTTCTCATGGTTGGGCACACTCATGAAGACGTCGATGCCATGTTCAGTCACCTGGCAGAGTCCCTCCGGCGATCCAATGTCCTCACCCTCCCACAACTCTATGATGAATTCCAAAATTGCATCAAAGGCACTGTTGAAACTGCACTTGTGACAGAGGTTCCAGACTTTAAGGGGTTTGTAAGAGGTTACATCAGGGACGGATCCGAAATGCTGATTGGCCACTCCAAGCCTCTTCAATTTCATTTCAGCATGCATGATGATGCTCCAATGATGAGGTACAAGATGAGAGAATGGGACACAGTGTGGCTGCCAGTGGACGGCATTGAACTCTTCAAGAGAGATCCCATAACTAGGGAACCTATGATTCCTCAGGGTTCCCCACGGCCGATGCACCCGGATGGACTCAAAGACCAGGAAAGTATAGTGGCCGGGATTAGACAGCATATTGCCTTCTGGAAGAGGGGGTTGGTGTTTGGTGGAGAATCCTATTTTAAGAGGTGCAAGCCTTTGCTTGAATACTGGGAGAAGATTATATCTGCTATCCAAAATGGGCCGGTTGTATATGAAAAATTGGAAGAGTCCTTTTGGCCAGAACCCAGAGCACCAGATAGTAGCGGAACAATGTCCTCTGGAAATGCAGTGACAGATAACGATGTTGAGGATCACTATTGTGGGCCGAGGAACAAGAAGCCGGATTCAGCATTCAATCCAGTACAGGTCTGCAAAGGAATGGTCGTGCTTGTCAGACCCAGTAATAAAAAACAAATGATATGAGTGGGGTGCTGCATCACTGATGCAGAGGAGGACGCGGAAACTAACTCCTTCAATGTAACTGTGGAGTGGTTCAAGCCAAGTTTCGGATATACGAAGGATTGCCTAGAAAAGAGATGGGTGCTGAATCCAAGGGATCCCAGCATGAGCATATCGGTGGATAATGTTGTGCATGGTTGGATGCGGAAGCAGAGTGCCACCATCACCTTGCCAGACCATGCAAGAGATGCAGCAAGAGCATTCATAACCTGGGTTCAAGGTGAGATTCATTAATATTCCTTTACTAAGTTTCTAATGTATTTTATTTCAAGGTGAACAATCCGAATCTGAATCAGAGGAGGCGTGATGGCATGTGGCCTTACGCCATTCCTAGGTGAGATGATACAAATAACAAGTATAAATTCTTAGTTGTTCTAGCAAATCTTACTTAAAGTTCAAGGTGAACAAGCCGAATATGAATTCATCGGATTGTTATAACAAATTGCGAGGTGATGGCATGAGGCGATACGCCATTTGAGAGTGGTAGCCATTCTTATATGAGATGAGTGAAATATTTATTAGAAATACCTCATTCAATTGTGCACTTCTAAGTCTTGGTCCACTCAATACTGTTTGCATGTTTCTATTTTAATTCTTTCTCTAAAATGTTATTTAGCATGTGGCTTCATGCCATTGCTCTCCACAATCATGCATTGAATTTTTCTATCCTTGCATAATACTTCTCCATATATATAGCATGTGCGCACATGTGATATGGTTCATTAGGCCTGATATAGTGTGTGAGGTAAAACAAAGATGATGTGACATATGCATTTACCAATCACACGTGCATAAATCTAATAATATGGCATGTGGCCCATATTAATGGCACATAAACCCATATTGTGGGCTTACGTGCTTTATGTACCATCATTCCCTTGTAGCGTGTGTGTTGGTTTCCTTTTATAACACAACGAACTCCATATTTTAGGGTGAAGAGCGTTCTCATGGCAAGCACAAAATCTATAAGTGAGGTAGAAAAGGAGACGGAGAAAGAGATAGGTGAAGATGTAGAATATATAAGTCTTCCAAACTCCCCGTACTATACTCTAGGTGATCATTTTTCTGAACAAACGACAACATTAACAACTATCAAGAACGCCCCAGTAACGTCAGAGACAACAATTCAAAGCAAAATAACTAACCCATAGAAGGATGATAGTACCGCTGAGAGTACCAAAAAGGAGGTGTCCACTAGTGCTTAGGCTTATAATGGCGTGTGCCCTCATGCCATTTACTTGATCACCAAATACCTTTTTCCCTTTGCACTAGTATATCTTAATACCGGTCTGAGAAATAGAATGGCATGTGCCCTCAGGCCTTTTACTAAATCACCTTTGAAAGAAATGCAAGCCTCTATGTCGTAAAAAAAAGGTACTAGAGAAATTCCTTAATAATATGAATGTTATTTAGTTTCATGAAAATACACTAAGGGTCAAATGAGTTAAATGACTTCTCCAGACTAGCAATGCCTCTTGCTACACCTTCACAATTAGATTCGTTAGAAAAAGATAACATTGAATAATATCTAAATGTTCTCACCATTAAGTTATATGTCTGGCTAATAGGAATGATGTTCATCTTGGAAAGCTCACCACACGCTCAATGAACAAACAAATAGTGTGTGCACGCATGCCATCACTCTTCTTTAGCTTCAGATTCGGCTTATTCACCTTGACAATGAGATTTATTATACAACCAGATGGACTCAGTCTGGACACAAAGTCACCGCGCTAGTCACCATGCCCCAGATATGTCTAGCCCCTGGACAAAAAACATATAATTTCACGTCATTTTCAAATACTTGAAAATTTGTACCTAATCCCATTTTATTGAATAAATCCCACTTTAACGAAATAGAGCTTAGATTGGGATGGTTATTTATCATCTCTTCGGTATGCATATGTCACTAGGGTGCAGAGTTCTATTGGTGCTTCACCATATAAACTCCTATATAGTCATGATCCAATATTACCAACAGAGTTGGGTTTACCTTTGCGATTGCCACGAGCTGCAGATGCTAGGTCATGGGATTAGTATTTGACGAGCATTCTTCCACTTGTCCAAGCGGAGTCTGCAGAAAACTTAGGCCGTGTACAAGTGGGACAACAATGGCAGTACAACTCCCATCATTGTCCACTTGCAGAGTACAAACTAGATGATTTGGTGTTAGTCCGTTTTCCCTATCTTATGGTATGTGGTTTATCTAAGGGGTTCCTTGCACAGTGGAAAGGATTGTATCGGGTAGTGTTTCAACCGCTGCACATGCACAATCTCTAGAGGATCGGTCTACTAGACGTCATGCCGAACTTCATAAACTTATAGTCCAACTTGCCGCAACTCATACAAAGGGATCAGGAGTAGTTAATACCATCTATAGATCCACCGATGCCTCTTTCTGACGTTCCTCCAGATCCCGGCCCGTCTACAAAAGAACCCTGATGGTCTTCCATTATTCCAAGAGGAGGGGATGATGTGAGGGCCAAATGTACAGCTACAATGCCGTATACTAATATTAGCGTAGTGGGATTTTAGTAGCTGTCGGATTGATTTCAATCCAGACCACTCGCTCTTGTATATAAACTAGGGTTTTTGGGCTAATTGATATGCACATTTCTATATTCCCTTTTCCATATTCCATACACTCACAGTGTATGCTTACATCAATTTAGAATTACAAAGCTTGTTTTAACCACCAAAACTCTAGTCTAGGGAAAGGAAAACAAGTGCAAGAAGTACCTGATAAGCTACTCTCACAAACCCTTGGTGTGATCCCAAACTCCTCTGGTTCATCTTGGGATACAGTATCTAGGGTTGATCTGGTTCTTCGATTTTGCTGGTTGGGGTTTGTGGGTGCAAAAGGATTTAGTTTGCACAGATTTTTCCACAGTTTGGCATCTTTTGACCGTAGTAATTTTTGACACATGATTCCACAGCCCTTATGGTTTCTTCTCGAAATGCATCTCTGCATGGTGTTTTGGCAATCAGTATTCAGTCGGAGCATGGTATGTACGTACAGCATGGCTGAACTAGCATTGTACTTTGCTTTACGTCAACAATCAATGATCTCAGCATGATCGCTCTCATTCCTCACAAACTTGCTCCTCACCCCCAACATGTGCGATGTAGATAAAGAAATGCCGTTGCTGGTCCAAAGAGAAAAAAGACAGAACCTTTGTTGAATTTGCGATCTTGAAGCATGTTGCCCTAGAAACTGATCTGAAGCCACAGTACTGCAAAAGATGAAAAGACTGAACCCTTGCTGTGAATCGTAAAGCCATCTCCTGATGCAGGTTACCCTAGACACTGGGAATCCAGTGCTAGAGCCGAAAGGATGTTCGCTCGCTGCAAGATCTGCCACGGAATTCCCCAAAAGAACAATGAAACCCTTGCTGTGAATCTTGAAGCCATCTCCTGATGCATGTTACCTTAGACACTGGGAATCACAAGCCATGACGGTCTTCCCCTTCAGAGGCCACTGGGAATTATGAAGCTGTCCTGTTTCGTTCCCAACGTTTTGTGTTGCGTTGGTCTCTGAATCATTAGTATAAAAGTTGCCTCTCCAACCTGACGTTGATAAAAAACCACATTCTCACGATTTTGCTCCGTCTACATATCCACGCTAGTAATATCATCCTCGTGCAGCTTCCAAATATCGCCGATAGTTCTATCATAAATATTCTTCACATCTCGAAAGACCATGCAATGGTCCCTACTTAAAGGCATCCCGGGCTTCTGTAGCAACTACAATGTGTTGATTCTCCTCATAAACCTGTGCGGTGTGTTAGGTTGATAAGTTGCCATCGTCCAACGACACTGGCAAAGTCGATGCTGTCTGCCCATAAAACCAATGTTTCAATGCTCCAGTGTCCCCATGCTTTCTGGCACCTTCATTGTACCCTGTGTCATTTCTAGATTTAAATGTCTTAGTTTACGTGAAATTCCAGTCAAATCCAAAACTGATGAGTCCTCTTTTGAACTAACATTCAGCCCCAGCTCTTCCAAGTTGGAGAGCTGGGGCAGTAATGCAATGTTACACTTCATCGGCATCCACCGGGTAGTACATTTTAGATATTTCAGTGATGTCAGGCTGAAAAGTGCATCTGGTAATTCACTCACTTCTGTTCCTTGAATGTCAAGCACTTGAAGGTTTTTCAGCTTGGATATGCTCTCTGGAATAAAACGCATCTTAGAGCATCGCCACAAGCTCAATACCTTGACACCTTGTATGTGATTGATAAAACTGTCATCCACATTAGAAAGTCCTTCACATTTTTCCAGAAGTAAGACATCACCCACATGATTATCGGATAGAAAGCTGCCAACATTCTTTGAGATGAATGAGACTTCAGCAAATGTTGCATCCCGAATGCCAATTGTCCAGTCATATCCGAACAGGCATCCCTTCTCGTGCTCTTGCTGTGGACCGTACTTCCCTTTTAAGATTCTTATGCACAGTTTGCGTAGCATATCGTGTACGATTATACGATCATCGTCATTCCAAGACTTATTTATCTTGACCAGGCATCTCCGTTCCAGTTCATTGACAATCGCTGTGGGTGAGAGTTCTGAGCCAACCTCCATCCAACATTTCCTCAAGTCAGTGAACTCAATCTCCTCGTCTTCTGGGAATGCGGCCACATAAAGAAACCACTCTTGCAGCTTTTCACCCTCATAGTTTCCCAGCTCGTCATAGCTGAACTTCAAGCGCTTGAACATCTGCTTCTCAACGTCTGGGTCATTGGACAAGTGCAACCTCTTATATCGTTCTTCCCACACAAGTGGCCCTTCTCTTCTGTGGACAGCCATGGCACTGCCAATCACTTCCAGGGCTAGAGGAAGTCCCTCACATTTTTGAGCTATTTCCTCGGCAAATCCCACAACATCAGGGTCACTGGGTTGTGGATCATGCACACCGAAGGCAAACTTCCAAAACATCTTTTTGCTTTCGTCCATTGATAGCTGATGCACAGGAAATGCCTTTGCATCCAGGCTGCGCAAAATGCCTTCCTTTCTGGTTGTCACCAGGATCCGGACAGAGGATGGCCGTGCTATAAAATCCAGTTCCTTTGCCCAGCTCCAGTCCCAGACATCATCCAGTACCAGCAAGACACGGTTACCACCAGCAACATCGCATGCCAAGTGCTTCATGTCGTCAAGGGTTCCTCTGGCCCTCTCTTTCATTTCACCCCATTCAAGAGTGTTGAGGAGCTGGGCCTTGAGATCGTCCTCCGAAGCATTTTTCTTCCATAGTTGCAGCTAGACATGCAAATGTTCCAACGTGTCGACATTTAAACGCTGTTTAAAACGTTTTTTTCAGGACAATCCAACATTTACATGTTAAAGCCTAAAATGATTAAGAAAACATTAATATTTACTAAAGACACTTTAATCTGATATTAAGTTTATAAAACCTAACCGAATAACATACTAAAACAAATGAAAGAAGAAGCCGTTTTAGTCGTCTTCCGATTCCAAATCATCTTCCATTCCTTCATCGATGCTAAACTCCTCAGCAGCCTGATTTGGTTCCTCAAAAGCTTCTTGCAGATCCAAAATCCTCTTCCAATGAGGCTCCAACTCCAGCTTGTCTATATCAATCTCTAGCATCCTCAAACCTTCACTCTCCAGCTTCTGAGCAACCCGCAAGTTTGTGTGAATGTAAACCAGCTTCTCAGCATTTGTGGGAAGCAAGCGGGACCTGTGCTTTGTTTGTATCAAGCTCCATGAGCTCTAATTCCTCTTGCATGGAGAAGCGCAAACAACTTGGCTTAAATCCATGCAATGTAGATCAAGCAACTCTAAACCAAAAGAACTCCACCAGGTTACTGGAAACTTTCTAGTCTCCCGATCCTTGGCAACAGGTAACCTTATTTGCCGTCCAAGCTGTTGCTGAAACCTCTCAAACTGTGCCTGCAATCTCAACTGCAAGTCCAGATCACCTCCACTATAAACATGTATGTACTCCAGCCAGTTCCCGCGTGCCTCATTGTCCAGCTTGTTGTTCTCTGGGTTATCCCCCAGAAATAGAGGATGAAGAGCAAAAGCAGCTCCATGAATGACATTGTGCATTTGATACCACCTTGCCTCCTTCAGACCATGTGATTCAAGTAGGAAATCCTTGATTTGTCCCACTTCCTCATGTGCATAAATTCTGTTTTGAGCTCCCTCATCCATCTTCTTGATCAGCCGATCAACAGCTTCAAAGATGAGGCTTGAAGTTGCCCCCTCCCGATCAGCGAGCTGAAGAACTCGAAGTAAAGGTCCGAGCAAAATTAACAAATTCTTACACCGCTCCCAGAACGAGTCATCCAGAACATGAGATTGCAGCTCCAGGCCCTCCGGCTTCTTAGACCAGTCAAGTCACTCCCATTCTTGGCTCACCACCATTCTTCGAAGCCCAGAGAGATTCATGGTCTCCAGAAGCTGAGACATCACGAGAAAAATATAAGCAAACCTCGTGGTTACAGGCTTTATCAGGTCCCGTTTGTAGAAAGTTCTATAAAGAGTTAGAACCCGTGGTTTTGAGGTGATGAAGGTAACTGTCTTCGCACAGCCATCGACGAAAGGCTGCACCCAAGACAGAGCTCCAATATCTTTGAACAACAAGTCCATAACGTGGCAAACGCAGTGAACGTGTACAATCTGTGGAAACTCCTGCTGCAAAAGCTCCCCCATGACCACGCAGTTGCTTGCATTGTCTGTCACCACCTGCACAACGTTTTCCGTGCCAACCTCAGCAATCACTTGTTTCAGCTGCTCAAACAACCATGCTCTGGTTTTCTTCGCGTTCTTGCTGTCCACAGCCTTCAGGAAAATTGAGCCTCTCACAGAACTGACCATGAAGTTGATAAGAGACCGCTTCTTGATATCAGACTAGCCATCCATGACAATGGTACAACCATATGTCCTCCAACTTAGCCGCACATCTTCAAGCCGCTTGTGAACGTTGTTGTAGATTTGCTGTAGCTCAGTTGTCCGCAACTTCTCATATCCCATGAGGTTGTCAATCGCTGGACACCCTACTTTTGCGGCAACTTTCAGCATTCTCTTCAAGTTGTCTCTTTGGATTGTGTTGAAGGAGATGTTCTCGGCAAAGAAGAACTCTGCAACAGCATCATCCAGTGCCTCAGCTGAAGCAGTATCAAAAAATGTTACCAAATTTCCATCCGAGGATCTGCGTTTCGCTGCTCTACTTGTCCCAGCACTGGAGGCTCAATTTTCCTGAAGGCTGTGGACAGCAAGAACGCGAAGAAAACCGGAGCATGGTTGTTTGAGCAGCTGAAACAAGTGATTGCCAAGGTTGGCGCGGAAAACGTTGTGCAGGTGGTGACGGAGAATGCAAGCAACTGCGTGGTCATGGGGAAGCTTTTGCAGCAGGAGTTTCCACAGATTGTACACATTCGCTGCGTTTGCCACGTTATGGACTTGCTATTCGAAGATATTGGAGCTCTGTCTTGGGTGCAGCCTTTCGTCAATGGCTGTGCGAAGACAGTTACCTTCATCACCTCAAAGCCACGGGTTCTAACTCTTTATAGAACTTTCTGCAAACGGGACCTGATAAAGCCTATGACCACGAGGTTTGCTTATATTTTTCTTGTGATGTCTCAGCTTCTGGAGACCACGAATCTCTCTGGGCTTCGAAGAATGGTGGTGAGCCAAGAATGGGAGCGACTTGACTGGTCTAAGAAGCCGGAGGGCCTGGAGCTGCAATCTCGTGTTCTCGATGACTCGTTCTGGGAGCGGTGCAAAAATTTGTTAATTTTGCTCGGACCTTTACTTCGAGTTCTTCGGCTCGCTGATCGGGAGGAGGTGACTTCAAGCCTCATCTTTAAAGTTGTTGATCGGCTGATCGAGAAGATAGGGAGCTCGAAACAGAATTTATGCACATGAGGAAGTGGGACAAATCAAGGATTTCCTACTTGAATCACATGGTCTGAAGGAGGCAAGGTGGTATCAAATGCACAACGTCATTCATGGAGCTGCTTTTGCTCTTCATCCTCTGTTTCTGGGGGATAACCCAGAGAACGACAAGCTGGACAATGAGGCACGCGGGAACTGGCTGGAGTACATGCATATTTATAGTGGAGGTGATCTGGACTTGCAGCTGAGATTGCAGGCACAGTTTGAGAGGTTTCAGCAATAGCTTGGACGGCAAATAAAGTTACCTGTTGCCAAAGATCGGGAGACTAGAAAGTTTCTAGTAACCTAGTGGAGTTCTTTTGGTTTAGAGATGCCTGATCTACGTCGCATGGCTCTCTGGATTTTAAGCTAGGTTGTTTGCACTTCTCCATGCGAGAGGAATTGAGCTCATGGAGCTTGATACAAACAAAGCACAGGTCCCGCTTGCTTCCCACAAATGCTGAGAAGCTGGTTTACATTCACACAAACTTGCGGGTTGCTCAGAAGCTGGAGAGTGAAGGTTTGAGGATGCTAGAGATTGATATAGACAAGCTGGAGTTGGAGCCTCATTGGAAGAGGATTTTGGATCTGCAATAAGTTTTTGAGGAACCAAATCAGGCTGCTGAGGAGTTTAGCATCGATGAAGGAATGGAAGATGATTTGGAATCGGAAGACGACTAAAACGGCTTCTTCTTTCATTTGTTTTAGTATGTTATTCGGTTAGGTTTTATAAACTTAATATCATATTAATGTTTTCTTAATCATTTTAGGCTTTAATATGTAAACGTTGGATTGTCCTGAAAAAAACGTTTTAAACGGCATTTAAACGTCAACACGTTGTAACGTTTGCACGTCTAGCTGCAACTATGATGTAGCTTAGCTAGTGATTGATTGATCGCCTGGAAATACTTCTTCCACTGATCCAGTCCCGCAAGAAGATCATGATTTCATAGCTCGGCATCCAACATGGCTGCCTCCGATTCACTGCTTGAGCAAAGCAGCGCCGGATTGTGACCGAGCAGCGTCATCGTCTTTGTCTGCCACATTGATTGCCGCACTGGATCAACTGGCCCAAGCTATTCCCGATTCCATGGCAACCAAGAACTGGAAGAGGTCTTACACTGCAATGGTAACTTTACTTCCTTTGACTTTGGAGAGTTCTTATGTTCTGTTTCTAGAATATAAGAAGAAAGGCAAGGCAGAGTGCTGTTGGGACTGGAGCTTGGAATTTGGAGCCTCTACAGTCCGTCATGCTTATACATTTCAGGCTTCTCTACAATCAGTATGTGGATAGAAGTTTACCATCCTTCCTGCTATGATGGCAGGAGAGCCGAGTATATTCTTGTGTTTCTCATATGCTCCCATATGGTAATGCTTGTCTTTCAAGCAATGGCGGGGTCTAGGCATGAACAATGGACACATGTGTGGAGTTTCAACATCGATTTCCTGGATGGGCTCATCACAGCGCTTTATACGTAATCGTTGTTTCCCTCTTCGAGGTTTCCCCTCACACTTGTGTTTGTAGGATTGAAATGGTGTTACAAATTTTGGCTCTTGGTTTTATCAGAGGTCGTCACTGCTACATGCGGAATCCATACAATAGGCTCGACTTTGTCATTGTTTTCGATTCCTGGTAATGTTCAGGTTTTGTATTTGATGGTCGTAAGTGTTTCACCAGCTCTTTGGGAGGTGCATAACTGCACATGATTTTTTCGTGGATAGCCGTGTTCCGCGTGTTTCGGGTCCTGCTAGCGTTGAATCAAGTCACATTTTTTGCCGATGTCATAGTATGGTTTGTAAATTTCTGATTTGTGCATTGTTAACACTTTACAATAGACCATCATGGCGGCCGTGAAAAAGAGCGTTGGTCCTCTCCAAAACGTTATCCTTTTGACGTTCTTTCTGTTGGTTTTCTATTCTCTACTCGGCACGCAGATCTTGCAAAACTCGATGAATCAAAGGTAATCTCGATAGTTCTTATCATGTGATATCAAAATCCTCCTGGGCAGGTGCTTTCGAATAGCGGACAAGCAACTTGCTTATCCCATGCGCTTTTGTGACGAAAAAGCTGCTGGCTGCTACGTACGTCCACCATTTCAGAACTGTATGATGTGTTTTTTCTATAAGCTCATTCCTTATCCATCTCTTTGTTTGTAGACACACGAGAATCCCAACCATGGAGCGACAGCTTTTGATTATCTCTGGTATTCGCTGCTTACCATGTTTCAGGTTTGTGTCACTTCATAGCATCTTATCGCCTTAGCACACTTCAAAGTGGTCACTCTGCAGGTGATAACTTTGGAAGGATGGAGCCTCGTCATGCATGATGTGAAGGATGCTGAAGGGGAGCGAGCCAGTAAGGCGTTGACATTTTTTCTTTTATTGCTTACACAAGCCATTGCATCACAGATTCTTACTTTATGACGTTAACTGTTCTGGGTACATATTTCCTGGCGGACGTTTTCATCGCCGGTATCAGTGGTGTATTTCTTCGTGTTCGATCAGAGCATCAGGTGCACACTTGTTTACTGATTTCCCATCACCCCCTGTCCCTAGCATGGAGTTCACATATCAACGCTTGACATCACCAAATGATCAGGCTTAAGTTAAGCTGTTATTATCCAGGCTTTGCTGAGGAAAGCCCATAGAACCTCGGTAAGTGCTGAAAGACAATATCGTCAAAGCCGACTCGCACATGCCATGGTATAACCGCTTACTCAACAGGTCAAGAAAGGTGTAGCAGAGCATTAAGTCGGACACGGACCTCCCTGCGGACTGCCCTTCAAGCCAGATCAATGAGAGTGCGGTCCAGTAGGTCTTTCAGTCGAAGTATGACGATAGGAGTTCAAGCAGCGTTGACAGTCCGCGACATCGTTGAACATCCCAAGTTTGAGTGGGGAGTACTTCTCAGTGTCACCATTAACGTCGTGCTCTTATCGTCCTTCAAGTATGGGATGTCAAAACGGTTGTTGCATACGCTCAGTATTCATTTCACGACTTCCTTTCTATTCGTTCAGCATGATAAATTTTGTATGCAGACGGGTTGCAAGCAGTAATGCTTTTTGCTTTCAGCGGGGAACTTCTGCTGCGCTTTCTAGCATACGGTCCTGGCGACTTTCTTGACGATGGTGAGTTCTTTGTTCATGTTGTCTTCTGGTCTGATCCCGAAATTTTCAGGAATGAATTTGCTGGACTTGATAGTTGTTTTCACATCTATTGTGGCACTCAGTTCTCATTCGTTTCCAAATTTAACATCAATAAGAATTATGCGGTGGTTTTACTCTTCGAAGAAGTATATTGCAAAAATGGGGGTCTTACTGGATCCGCTTTAGAGGCCCCACCATCGGTCGTTCCAGCTGCAGAGTCTTCTGAAGCACCGCTGTCGCGTCACAGGCGTTCTTCCCAAGTTTTACAGGTTTCTGGTTTTCCGTCTAATATCGGTGAAAGGAGGGGTTCAAGAACCGCACTTCAAGATGCCGTGATAACTCTGGACGAGATTCTCAGCAGTCCAAAAATTGTCCCCGATTTCATCTGGAGTCTGCAGAAGATCAACTTTGTGGTGAGCACATGCTTATCTTATTTTGCTCGACATTGTACATTGTTTTGGAGCAGGTCTTTTTGCTAGACTGTTTGATGAAGATCGTTGCACAGGGACTTATTTTGCGCCAGACGCATACGTGAGTGCCTGGTACAACATCTTGGACTTGTTTATTCTCGTCACCGATGCGCTTATTCTTCTGAAGTATAACGCTGAGGATGAAACTTCCATACCAACCGTCGGTGCGTTTACTTCTCTTCGGTCATTTCGTTTCGTGGTTCGGTTTACAGGACTGAGGTCATTATTATCGAATTACCTGTGAAATATAATAATGCAATGACCCGACAATCACGCACCGAGCATATTGTACCGGCCTCTATGTTAATGACATCGGCATCCTTGCTCCGCGAGCCTGGGTTAATAACGTTTTCCACTTCGACGACATCCAGAATGCCCTCCTCAGTATGTTCGCCTGCTCCACTTTCGACAACTGGCTGACGCACTTCATGTATCCTGTCATGGACATCACTAGGGAAGACCAGCCTGTTCGGAACGCAAGTCCTGTCAACGCCTTGTTTTTCGTGGCATTCTGCTGTATCGGGGGATTTTATATCGTCAGTTTTCATCGGGGTGTTTATCAACGAGTTTGAAAAAAATTCTGGAGCAGTTCTTCTCACAGAGAGGCAGAAGCTGTGGAGGGACATGAACTGTATCATCCAGAAAAATTATGCTATTCCGCTGGCTCGACGACCAAGCAATCCCATCCGGGGGATGTGCTTCTACTTGATTCGCAATCCCACATATCAAAAGTGCATGATCCTCGCACTCCTTGGCTACTCTGGGCTACTTGCGACTAACTATGCTGGGCAGTCGGCAGTTGTTTCGGACCGGCGTCAGATGGCTCACTGTGAGATTACAACATATTTCCTGCTCGAATCCGTGATGAAGTTCCTTGGCGACGAGGTACCTCATTCATCTTTTTCTCGATTGTTTTTTGTTTGACCACCTGGTTTTTCCTTTCTCCAGTGGAAGGTCTATAAGAACGAGGTTGCACGGCAGATGACGTTTGGACTCTCCATAATGGCCGCCATTGGTCTCTTGGGAAAGAAGGGAACGGTGAGGGGCTATGTCGGCCGCACTGCCTACATTGCTCAAGTTTTTTGCATCATTCCTCATGTAGTGAGAGCGCGGGTTATTATGCGAACAATGTTCATCTGTTTGCCAACTGTAGCTGAGATACTCGTTCTTCTCGCAATTTTCATGTATATGTTTGCAGGGATGGCTTTCCAATTCTTCAGTGCAATGAAGGAAGGGACCTGCATTGGCCCGTCTGTCAACTTTCACACTTTCGTCAACGCTTTCATTAACTGGTCTTGCGTTATGATGGATACCACAATTGATGCACCCGCCTGCACCAACGGTAAAACACTACTCGGCGATGATTGTGGCTATCCAGAGGGCGGGACTATCTTCTTCACCTTCTTGGTCTTGGTCAGGAGTCACATATTCATGAACTTGTTCGTGGCTGTGATACTGGATGCTGTAACCTTCGGCCTTTTGAACGAGAACTCTATGGTTATGCCAGAGCACCTGTTAGCATATCGAAACTTGTGGAGCCAAGAACCATTCGATCCCAAGTAAGCCACTTACTTACGTTCAAGTCCTTGTGGAACTAACTTTACAATCGTCCAGTGCTACGGGATACATTGGCATGCACAAGCTGCGACGATTTGTAAACGCCCTCGGTGACCCGCTGGGCCGGCGCTACAAGTCCGCAACCCAATGGTTTGGCGTGTGTTTGTGGAGTCCTCCCAATCTCGTTTTCTTCTTTGTTCTGCTCAGGTACGTGAGAATAGAGTACGAGGTGATGAGTTTTCGAGTTCCAAACAAAGGAATCCCTTTCAAGGAGCTGCTGGAACGCTGACGCTGTATAAGATCGGACCAACTGTAAGGAGCTGCTATTCCAACCTTTTGATACTTACGCTTGGCTCGGATTAACGCAGGGGTTGCCTCTCACTCTGCGCATCAAGCGTGAGAAGCGGATCCAGGCCGTGTACATCCAGGGCGCTGCGACGAAAATGCCGGCTCTCGTGAAGAGAGGCAATTGCTCCCATTCAATATCAGGAGCTAGCCAAAAGTGCAACTCTTTCAGATTTGGAAGACTGGCAGCCAAATCATCCTTGAATTTTGACTGTGCAATGCGTAGATTAGTAAGCCACAGCCTTTCAAGACTTGGGAATGATCCATCCAGGTTGAAGAAGTGGATACGATTGCATTTAATTAAAAAATGTTTCTAGGCCGTGGGGCAACAAAGATAGGTTTATGATATCACGGATGTCTAAATATCGTAATTGCAACCATTCGAAGCTGTCATCACTACTTTCACTGTCTTCTACCCCAACGATGGAAAAATGTTGAAGCTTGATTGATTTCATAAACATTTGTTTCCAAGTAGCTCTGCTGACGGTTCTCACACGAATTAGACATTTTGTTAGGTTGACAAGTTGCCATAACCCAACGAAACTGGCAAAGTCAATGTTGTTTGCATGTAAAACCAATGTTTCAATGTGCGCCAGTGTCCCCATGCTTTCTGGCACCTTCATTGTACCATGTGTCATTCTTAGATCTAGAAGTTTTAGTTTACGTGAAATTCTAGTCAAATCCACAACTGATGACTCCTCTTTTGAATCAAGGCTCGGCTCCAGCTCTTCCAAGTTGGAGAGCTGGGGCAGTAATGCAATGTTACACTTTATGGGCGTCCATTAAGTAGATTTTAGATATTTCAGTGATGTCAGGCTGAAAAGCGCATCTGACTCACTTTTGTTCCTCGAATGTCAAGCACTTGAAGGTTTTTCAGCTTGGAAAGGCTCTCTGGAATAAAATGGATCCTAGAGCATCGCCACAAGCTCAATACCTTGACACCTTGTATGTGATTGATAAGACTGTCATCCACATTAGAAAGTCCTATACATTCATCCATAAGTATAACATCTCGCACATGATTATCGGATAGAAAGCTGCCAACATTCTTTGAGATGAATGAAACTTTAGCAAATGTTGCATCCTGAATGCCACTTGTCCACTCATATCCAAACAGGCATCCCTTCTCGTGCTCTTGCTGTGGACCGTACTTCCCTTTTAAGATTCTTATGCACAGTTTGTGTAGCATATCGTGTACGATTATATAACCAGGAGCTTCTTCATACCCCCAAGACTTATCTATCTTGACCAGGCATCTCCGTTCCAGTTCATTGACAATCGCTGTGGGTGAGAGTTCTGAGCCAACCTTCATCCAACATTTGCTCAAGGAACTAAATTCAATTAATTTGTGTGGGAATGCAGCCACATAGAGAAAGCACTCTTGCAGCTTTTCACCCTCATAGTTTCCCAGCTCGTCATAGCTGAACTTCAAGCGCTTGAACATCTGCTTCTCAACGTCTGGGTCATTGGACAAGTGCAACCTCTTATATCGTTCTTCCCACACATGTGGCCCTTCACCTCTGACTGCCAATCACTGGAAGTCCCTTACATTTTCGAGCTATTTTCTTGGCAAATCCCACAACATCAGGGTCACTGGGTTGTGGATCATGCACACCGAAGGCAAACTTCCAAAACATCTTTTTGCTTTCGTCCATTGATAGCTCATGCACAGCAAATGCCTTTGCATCCGGATGCAAAATGCCTTCCTTTCTGGTTGTCACCAGGATCCGGCCAGAGGATGGCCCTGCTATAAAATCCTCTCTTTCATTTCACCCCATTCAAGAGCGTTGAGGAGCTGGGCCTTGAGATCGTCCTCCGAAGCATCTTTCTTCACAGTGATCCACACAATGTTGTCATGGAAATGCTGCCTCCAATCATTGTGCACGCAGCTTGCGAGGGTGGTCTTTCCACACCCTCCCATTCCCAACAGTCCAACCCATTTGCTACGGGCTTCAGGATCCAAGAGGGCATTCACCACCTCATCCAGCAGTTGCTCATGGCCCCCAAACATGGCCTCAGGAACAATACGGGGTACATATTTTGTTGTTAGGCCTGTGTCTTGCGGGGAACTCCGTACGGCGAAGCTAGTGCTCGGCTGTATCACTCTCAACTCTTCTCGCTCGTACCTTTCAATTTTCGGAAGGAGATCGTCCTCGTAGCTGTGTATCAGCTCCGAGATCTTGTCACAACGCTTCTCCCTGTGAAACATCCATAGATCATTTAGCTGTACTGTTAAAGCTCTCAAGTGTATATGCTTAATGTGATCCCAGCAGTGCTTGCGCCTTGTCGTTCCATTTTGTGACAAGATCAAGACACTCCTCGGCTCCATCAGAGTAGCGGAACTAAACTTGTTAAGCACGGCCTGAATGCTGGTCGCCCCCTTGTCCAGCTTCGCAATGTCCACATTCAGCTCGTGCCCGTGACTTTCGATCTGCGACAGGAGATCGTGCTAGGAGCTTATGCACTCCATAATAGGAATGGAGTCCTTTTAAAACCGTTGTTTCGGCTCTCTGGTACATAGCATGTCAATCTTGCGAGCCTTTGAATCATTTGAGAGCATAGCCTGTGTGGAACTTGTCTGCGTCAATTCTCGACAGCAGAAGCTGCGCGAAGAATTTAAAGTTCCAAGTGTAAGCAAACCAAGACTTGTATGTACCTTGAATGAAACTTAACACGAAACAATTAGTTCGATGCTTTACACCAATCAAAGCTTTGAACAAATAGCACACGCTCCTACGCTTTCCCAATACACAAAACACGGAGCACTGGAAAAAGGATACGCGATTACCCTTGATAGAAAAGAAACAAACTCTACTTACAGTATAAACGCTTATCGTCCTAATTTTCAAAACCGCTCTGGCCACCACAGGCAAAACATCACGCACGAATCATCACATCATTCTAACAAAAACCTGACCTTCATGCTGCAACAGGAGAATCCGGAGCTGATCCAATCGAAGAACCTTCGGGATCCTTAGGCAAGGCAACGTAATTCATCATCGGAGAGTAGCGTTTCACCCGGTTAACCTTTTGATTGCTAGCCTTCGGTGCGGGTAAGAGCTCAGGGACTATCGAAAGTCGTCGGTTTGCATTGTTTCCACTCACGCGAAGTCCCACCTGTCCCTTTTTGGACGGCTTTGTGCCGTAGAGCAGTTCCTGCTCAGTTTGCAGTTGCTCCTGCATTCTCTTCTCCTCCTGCATTTAGCCAGTTAACGTCTTAACAGGCACTAAACTGCAGAGTTACCCTCAGTCGGCGCTTTTCTTCTTCTTTCTCTCGTCGTAGCAAGCTATATTCTTCTAGAATTGCCAGTAGAGAAATCTGCAAAGCACTTTCAGAAGCGTCTACGAAAATCACTTACGTACCCCGTTATATAAGAAGGGCCTGCCTCTTTCGTCCTCCCAAGACCGCATTTTGGACTTCAATAATTCAAGAAGATCTGCAAAAAGGTTGTGAAAACTGAGAAAAGAAATAGCAACGCACTGGGGAGTTTGGCCACGATGTCACGAGCTCTTTCTGCACGTTTTAGATTCAAATGTGCTCCTCTGGTTGCATTGAAGCGGCTTTCATCCTACAATCGAAAATGAATAAGTGAAATAGCATAACGCTCATACCTTATTGTATTCTTCAAGCCAGCTTTCTTCTTCACACGCACTAATCCACCGTTCCATTCATTCCATTATATCTTGTCTGCCGAGTGATTCTTCCTTCTCCTCGGCGATACTACTTTCGATTGTAGCAAGTAGTTCTGACAAGTCCACTATCCCTGTGCACACGAAACATCAGCCAGGAAATGCACACAGAATAAATTTATACCTGACTCCCGATCGTCTTGACTAAGTTCTCTAGCGTCTCATCGCTAATACTTCTGCTCTGGCCTGGATCACAAAGGCTCGGATGCACTTCCTTGACAGCCTCGGTGTAGTCTGCCCCCAACAGGACGCAATATCCCTGCAGAACCTCGAGAAGCTCTGAGAATTTGTGGAGCCGGGTACTCTGGAAATGTCACTTGTAAGAAAAAAGAATGCCAACCGTGCCAATACAAACCAACCTTTACATCCTGAAGCTCTTGAACCTGGCAATGGTACTCATACAGCTTTCTCAGCAACAAACCTTTCCAAGAAAAAGCTCCATTCTCGGCCTCTTGCAATGCCCCTGGCGATATCTCCTGAGAGAGCCTTTGTATCTGGCATTGCACGTCCTCAAATTGCTTCAGCCGCTCCTCTTTCCTCAGACGCAAGCATTCTAACTGAGGTGAGACGGACAAGAGCTGCTCTCGCAGAGTAGTGCCCGACCTCTTCTCTAACTGAAAGGAAGAACAACGGGCATTGGAAAAGCACTGTGAGATGGATCAAACAACGTGTACCATGCAAGGGCGATCACCCAGGAGCGACAGGAGCGACGCGAGCTCCGACTCGGAATCTGCCAGCAGCTGGTGCAGCCGAGCCCACCTTCCGCCGGTACACATCCAGGCATTCTTGCTCCAGCTGGAGCAGCATTCTGTCCCTCTCCTCGTCGCTCTCCCCCGTCTCCTCCCAGATACTCTGCGCGCGGGCGATCCACCGCGATCGTGAGAAACTTCAGAGGCAATAATTCGCGAGGAGCCGAGGCTTACCTGGAGCTCCCGCAGCAGTGATCGGCAAGTCGTGTCATCGCCTTCCATGGCCTCCAGAATCAAAATGCGAGTCCCCAGATCACTCAAAACAATCAAGAATCCTCCGCGAGAACGCCGCCGCCCTCGCCATCGCCCCCTGCTCCAACCTAAACCCACAATGGCGGAGTTTACGCCTGCCACGTGTTACAGAGCCTAAACCAACGACAAATATTCTCAGCGTTTAAATTGAGCGTGTGCCTTTGCCACAAGCGTGCTTCTTGCAGTGTGAGTGACCTCGATCCTGGTGGTGGTGATGGTCGTGACTATGGTTGTGACCATGGTCGTGGCTGGGATGGCGATGGTGCTGGTGCTTCTCAGCACCATGCTCGTGATCAGAGCACTGTGTTCTTCTGGCGTGATCGTCGTCCTTGGAGCACTGCTTACCACCGTCGTGATCATGGTCGTGATCCTTGCAATTCTTTCCCTGGTGATGGTGGTGGCCTGATGATCTCTTCTTCCCTGTCCCTCGGAGTAAAAGCGTACTGTTTGAGATCACCAGCAAGCACGCCCCGACGTCGACCAGGACCGCCATCCACAGGTAGCCATAGCCAGCGAACGAGAATGCCAGTATCGCGACTTTGAGGCCCACCGAGATGACAACGTTCTGTATAACTTTGGTGTGGACTCTCCTTCCCAGACTCACCACCATGCTCAGCTTCCGGAGATCGTCAGTCATGAGGAAAACGTCCGATGTCTCCACTGCCACTGCTGATCCGGCTAGACCCATGGCAAATCCTACGTCCGCCGCTGCTAAAGCCAGGGCGTCGTTTATCCCGTCGCCTATCATTCCCGCCACACCGAGGTTTTCTTTCAGCTCTTGGATGATTCTGACTTGGGAGAAGACCGGAGTCTACAGTAACTCCTCCCAACTGTAATGGAGATTATTCAGTGACACCTCGAAGATGGAAATAGAAGCTTACATTGCTCTGGACGCTCTGGGCCGTCTCATGGTTATCCCCAGATAGCATATGGATCTGGAGCTTCATACGCTGCCATACACAAAAGAAAGCTTGTAAGGAAACAAGGGGCAATATTTCGAGCATCAATCTGCAAGTCGTGTCCTTGCCTTCACTCTATCTTTCTCCCCTCAAGCCAATTGAAAAAGAGGCAATTGCTTGACGATTTGGAATAGTGGTCACTTGAGGCTCTTGTTTTACTCTCAGGGCTGCTGCCAGATCCTCAGCTCGAGACGTCCCTCATTCTTTGCAGCTGGAGAAAAAGTTGTAAGAAAAAAAAAGAAGAAACAATAGAAGAAAACTTACCAGCCTTCGTCCCAAATCTACTCACAAGCGTGTTCTTCCGATCGATCCTCATTTATCAATCCACCCCCGTGTCATTCTGGTTGCGATAATCCATAATGTACGAAACACCACGAACACCTGTGAAGAAAAAGCAGCATAAAAGGAATGAAATATTACCATTTGCAAGATCCTGGACGAGAATGCGGTACCTTGTTCAATACTACTGGCAAGATCTTCACCTCATCAAAAACCCCGAGAGCAAACATGGTCGGTCCAGGCACCGGCTTCACTGTTCGCATTCGCTCCACATCGATGCGGCGATCTTGGTCTTGCTCAAAGCGGTGGAAGCACAAGCTGCGAGTCTTCTTCCTGTAGAGGAGAATACATAACCTTCTTGATCTGCGCGTTGGCGATGTTCCAGTAGGATGTTTTACTGGTAACGGTGGATCATAGCGCCTGCTGAGCATACCGGCGAGCGATCTATCTCCTCATCAATTCTGTCCAATCCTCCTGTACACATGAAAACGCGAGACCTGGAATAGTGATCAGCAGCGTTCTTGTCGACACCCGATGCCGCTACACCGTCGTCATGCATCGGCCGCGCGGAAGACGCCAGGAAATTTGGGGCGCCACGAACCGGATCGAGACTACCAGCTCCGAAATATCCACAATACCCTTCGATGTGATGCCAGCGCCGGGAACAAGACGCGCGCAGCGCCTCGATTCTCGGAATACTAGAATGCCGCCGATCAAGATTGGATCATCCTCATCGTTTCCCCACCGCCGCTCGCTCGGAGGGTTGATGCAGTGATTGATCGATCGCCTCGAAATACTTCTTCTAGTGATCCCGT